CGTCGCGACCTTCTCGAAGCTTCGCAAGGGGAACAGTAAGAAATGTCATTTTGGGCTCGTTTACAACTGCCGTGGGTGATGATATGAGCCTTTCTTGGTCTCATTAACACAAGGCTGACCAAGCCACAAAGACCGGCCTGAGCCAAGGTCCTCGAGAACGACGGTTCAGGCCAGGCAAAGGGTGACAAAAGGGTAGCCAAGCCATGCACTCATTGCCCCCCGTCCATGAACTGACATGATCAGAGCTACTGCACAAGGCTCGCGACCAGTCAGCCTCCCTTCCTCCAAAGGAAATTACCACTCGGCAAGTAGTAGCTGGGCAGTCGTCCCGCATACCTAGGTACCTTAATGTAGGTAGTCTTGGGTGGTCTTGGGGTCACGAACAAATCGGCAATTTGCCAGTAGCAGTTGACAGTAGCTTCTTCAGGCAGACACGATACTATTGTTCGCGCACCGACTAAGGTCAAGAATATGTGTCAGCGCTTGAATGGAACGCGTCCTCGAACCATGTCAGGGTCGGTGAGAGTCTAGCCGTGGGCGGCTGACAAACTGCTTCTGTGCACCTCTTCGACTCGGGGAGAAGGGCATGCACTTCTCCAGAACGGCGCGCTGTCAAAGTCGAGTGCTTGATTCGACTGCTGCCCATCATATGACTAGATGCAACAAATAGATGCGTCGGCCTAGTCTCGAGGGTCATCAATAGCCTTCAATTGCTCGACGGCGCAAGGCTGTTCGCTCATGTTGTTGCTTGGCATCAGGGTTTCGCCCGAAGTTCAGATAGAGTTTCTGGCCTGGAAAAAGCGGAGAGGGGTTTCGTCTCCCTCTGTTTCTGTCTCTTTGCACTCGTCCTCCTGACTGACTGACTGAAGGGACAGTGCTTCAAGTGCCGGCAAGCTTCCGTCGTTGACAAAAACGTGGAAGCCACCACATAGGTAGCGGCCGGGTCCCCTATAGTACACGACCGTCGGGCCTTAGTCGCGACCCTAGGAGACTAGACGCCAGCTATAACGAAAGGACATCAGCAACTAATCAAACCGGGCTTACAATTGAGATTGCTTTTCTTTTCCTTTTCGCATTCCATCGCATGTTGTGCGACGACATCTCTGGCTAAAAAAAGGGTCCATGGGTGCGGCGAAAGGACCGCAGTATCTCCTTTTTGTGTACTGACCTTTTCTTCTTATGTAGGTCTTCTAGTTGTGCATATGCGTCCCGTCTTTTCTTTTCTCTACCCTCTCATATTCTGACTTGTCTTGATACTAGTGCTGAGATGATTGTTCCGGGATTGGATTGGCCCTTGAGTTGCCTTATGATGTAACGGTTCTTTCATTGGACGACCCCTGTTGCCGTGCAGCGCCAAGAATCGTCCAAAATGGTCTGCCCGTCGATCTTTATCTGCTCTTGGACCACCACTCTCACCGGGGATCCAGGGGGTTCTGCAGGAACCGCTTTGAGCAAACCAGGTCCTCCCAGCCTGCCAGGTGAAGACTACTATTGTGTGGGACCGTACCCGTAGTGTACTGTACGTACGAATACCTTTGTTGACTAGACTGATGATGAGACTGCTTGCTGCTCAGTGCTCAATCGTATTGTCGTCGTCTTCAATCGTTGCTGTGTACATACTATCAAGTGGTACGTACATCGGACCTCGACTCCGAATGATACCACCGCTCGCCCGCCCGCGTACCAGACGTTCGGATGCCCGGCCATTGGGTCGAAAGGTTGGCCAACATCCAGGTACCTATGCATTCTGGTAGCTCTACCCGCTACCGACTACCTCGCAGGTATATGCCAGGTTAGGTACTAGGCACACAAGGAACCTTTTGAATCCCCATTGTGACTGGTCTCTTTCCTCGAGGTAGTACAGGCATTGCAGTGAGTCGTACTATTACCCAAATCTCTCTCCTGCCAACCAGTGGCCTGCAAGCACCCGGTATTCCGTAAACATCTCAACAGGTCATTGCACGCCGCTGCAATAAAGCTACACTGCATCCATACGGCGATCATCGTTATTGCTAGCCTAGGCTCTGGTCGAGAACTCTCCTTTTTTCTCTTTTCCTTCGAGAATCCATCAAACTCGCAATCTGGTGGACCAATATATCTCTCCCTTTCGGAGTTGAGCGAGTTGAGTATAATGGCAATTCTGAACGCGGTTGATTGATTGTGGGGACCGGAGGCATGGTTCGCACCGAGGTCGAATCACAAAATACCATAATCGCGGCGCCACTGGGAATTCCTACTAGCCTAGCATAGGTAATCTGTCAGTACTGAATGAATGGAACGTTTGTAGGCCAAAAATGTGATTTGTATGCGAGGGCCGCAGCACGCCAGGGTTCTGCCGTCGAGATGTCCCCAGAAGCTCATTTCATTATGGCCCCTGATCGGCCACGACGGCTTCAACCCCACAGACCGGACCCTTGCTCACGTCTCCATCCGCGAGTTCCGCTAATTGCCTATTCCGGCCGCTCGATGCCGTATTGAGAACAATTTAGTGGGATGGCAGATGTTGATCCAATGGCTTCCATGCTGTTTGCTGGTGACTACCAACTTGGGTTGCCGTCGATCAGAATTAGACCTCGAGAGCGTCCATAGGGCAACCCATCTCGACACCGCTCTGGGCGCCCCAGGAGATGAGTGCGAGTTGTATCGTGATCGCTACAACGGCCCTGCAAGGGGTTACGGGTACGGAGAATGACTGGACTCTACTCCATCGCATCTCGAGCCTTAAAGGCAAGTTGATCTGCCGCCTGATCGATACAACTTTTTCTCTCCATCACACTCTTCAGTCGATCAGCTACTGCTTTTTTCGTGCTTTACAGCATAGTCACTCTTTTTTCCGGCAGTAGTTCTCTACTCCAGTCATTCTTTACTGAATTAGTCCTTCCTTAAACAACTAATAACCATGCTTTTCTCAGCCACCGGCCCTCTGGCCGTGGCTTTGGCAGCCGCTTCGGCTGTCACTGCCTCGGGCCCCGGCGCCATGACTCCCGCTCAGGCAGAGCGTGACCTCCTCGGTCTCAACCTGGACTTGGGTGACCTTAGCAAGCCCACCAGCCTTTCCGTCAGCCTCGACGCCGACCTGAGCGGCCAGACCCTCGTTGAGGCTCACGTCGCCGTCGGTGCCGATGTCGACGTCAACGTTACCGACATCCTCGACGCCTCCGCTGATGTCGACGCCGATGTCAACCTGGTTGTCAAGTGTCTTGACTGTTTCGTCAAGGGTGACATCAACGCCACCGTCTCCCTCAACAACCTCGTCCCTGCTCTGAGCCTCGAGCTGAAGGACATTGAGGCCGAGTTGGACCTCGACCTCTACGTCGGTGTTGCCACCACCGTTGCCGTCAACCTGTTCACTCCTCTCGAGCCCATCTCTCTCCCCATTGCCGGCCTCGAGGTCGGTGCTATGGTCTACGTCGACCTTGTCCTGTCTCTCGATGCTGCTATTGATGTTACTGCCGGTGTTTACGTTAAGCTTACCGAGGAGGCCCTCCTCGAGATCGACATCCTCAAGGGTGAGCTCCTGACTACCAGCTTCACTGGCTTGGCCGTCAAGACCCTCCCCATCGAGGTCCGCATTGGTTGTGCCCGCCTCCAGGCCGATCTGCGCGTCCGTGTCCAGGCTGGTATCTCTGCCGAGATTGACATCAACGACCTGATCCCTCTGGGCATTGACATCCCCGAGATTGGTGCCGGTGTTGAGCTTGGTGTCTACGCCAACCTTGCCGAGTACGTCGGTTTCTTCTGCGACACCCCTGCTTGCCCTCTGTCCAAGGAGTCCTGGGGTCTCAACGTCGGTGTTGTCGCCGATATCGATGTTGAGGTTGGTGACATTCTCGACATTGAGATTGCCCCCACCGTCTCGGTCGCTCTCCTGACCCTGCCCACTGCCACCCACTGCCAGCAGTCCGGCGGCTCGACCCTGTCCACTCTGCCTCCTACCACCACCGCCACCCTCCCCGGCCACCCTGGTCACTCGGCTTCCACTCCCGCCAGCGGCTACCCTACCGGCTCTGCTGTCGTCACCTCTGAGAACAGCGCTGTTACTGGCTCTGCTGGTGTCTCCTCGCTGCCCTCCGGCTACGTCACCTCGACCGTCCAGAGCACCGCTGTCTACACCGTCACCTACTGCGCTGCCTCGGTTGCCAACTGCCCTGCCAGCTACGCTTCCGGCCAGACCGTCACCAAGACCGTCGATGTCTACACCACCGTCTGCCCTGCTACCATGTCGCTCACTGCCCCTACTAGCAGCGCTACTCCCGTCACCTCGTCCTCTGCTCACCCCACCACCATTGTGACTGAGGTGACCAGCCTGGTTCCTTGCTCTTCCACTGAGACCTTCACCCCCCCTGCCAGCGTGACTCCCTACACCAGCTCCACCACTGCTGCTGTCACCACCTCTGCTTCTACCGCTAGCGGCAAGCCCTCCGGCTCTGCCTCCGTCTCTGTCCCGGCCTCTGCCCCGGTTGTCAGCAGCTCTGCCAGCGTCTCCGTCTCCGTCCCCGCTACTGCTCCCGTCGCCTCCGAGACCGCCACCTACCCCGGCGTTGGCAAGTCCTCGACCTCCACTGCCGCTGTCAGCAGCGAGACCAAGACTGCTACCGTCCCCGGCGGTGAGTCTGGCAACTACCCCACTGGAAGCGTGAGCTACCCGGCTGGTGGCAAGCCCTCGGGCTCCACCTCGGTCCCTGCTACCGCCCCTGTTGCCAGCGAGACTGCCAGCTACCCTGCCGGCGGCAACGGTGGCAAGCCTTCCACCTCGGTTGCCACTTCTCCCGTCGCTTCTGAGACTGCCAGCTACCCTGCCGGCGGCAACGGTGGCAAGCCTTCCACCTCGGTTGCCACTTCTCCCGTCGCTT